ATAAGTAAACTCTAAAATATCATCCGACTTTTACCTGTAATAAAATTAAACTGGAATAAATATTTAATGGTCTTCCATGTTCTTATAATACTATTAATAGAAAATGAAATTAAAATTACGTATAATTATAAAGAGTATCAGTTACTTGTCCCTTTTTTCAAATATTTAGATAAATATATGCATTTTAACTTTATAGTTTCAAAAAACAAATTAATCTTAAAATTATAAAAAAGCATAGATAAAAAGTTATAGCTTATTTTTTTAAAATCAGAAAATAAAACTTTAAATTTGTTTATGGTTGTTTAATGTATACAAACAAAATCTTAAAAATAATATTTAAAAAATCTTAAATGTAGTATTTTGATTTTTAATTTTTTTTTAATTGTGATAAACTTTCTCCAAATAGTTAAAAATTGTCAGCAGATGTTGAGAGTTAACTTTAAAAAAAGGTCCATTTTTTCCTTTATAATTATTATCATACAACAGATTCNTTTTTTTTGTTTGCTTTCAATATTTTTAAACATGATTAAAAGAAACAAAATAAATTGTATTCAAATGAAATCTTAAAAATAATATTTAAAAAATCTTAAAAGTAATATTTTAATTTTTAACTGTTTTTTAATTGTGATAAACTTTCTCCAAATAGTTAAAAATTGTCAGCAGATGTTAAGAGTTAACTTTAAAAAAAGGTCCTTTTTTTCCTTTATAATTATTATCATACAACAGATTCAAAGTGTCTACATTTATTTCTCTCTTAGATGGTGATGCACTTTTACGATTTTTGTAGCTTTATCTATTCCTAATCTATTTCGAAGTTTACTCTGCACCAAACCGAAAGTTGAAAAGTGTCTTTCGATAGAGACAGAGGATGCTGGTGCTGAGTGCAAGGAAAAAAGAATTGACTGAAATTTTATGGAAGCTATGAATTTTATTTATTTATTTTTTTGCCATAATTTTCCACTATTTTTTTATGAAAACTGTTGAATAACAATGTCAAGCATCATTGATTTTGGAAAGTATTCAGGATCGGAAATTTTTAATGCCATAACACGTGGCAGAAATTCTGGATGATGCTTAGAAAGACAGTTTTCTGCTAATTGGTCTTATTCATCATTTAAAAATTGTCCCCTTTTTTCGGGATCCAGGATCCATATGCTAATAAATGATGTGGCTGAACAGCCTGATTGAATCTTTTTACAAAATGTCTATGAGTTCTAATTCAACACACGATAGTAAGTTAATTCATATTTCAACAGCTTCTGAAATTGAAATGTTTTCTGATTGAAGCTTTTTTAAAGCTTCAGAAACAATTGATATCTGTTTTTCCCTATTAATAGTTTATTGGTAAAGCCCAACATTATTTAATATTTTTGACATATTATTATTAGATTCATTTTGATGTTCAAGAACAATTTCTTCATATTTATGGTAATTATTGGCAAAAGTTTTTACGCACTACCTAGTATCATTTGGTCATTGGTTCATGAAGCAGTTTTTTTCATTTGCCCATCCATGTGCTTGATGCACATTTCTAAAATATTTGTTAACTTCAATGATGTGTCCAATGATAGTATTAGGAGATACTTCTTTTTGAACAAAATTAAAAATAAAAAAAAAACAATGTGAAAAAAACCACCAAGTGGGTTTTTTCAAAGGGGGCCCACTTGGGGAACCCTAGTTATATGTATTTTATATTAAATTTAAACAACGCATTATCACTAATACATACTTGAATTTTCTTTATTGTTAAGTACATTGCATTTCATAATTTTTAACTCAAGAATTATAAAATATAAATGCAGTAATATAAAAGGAACAACTTTATTCATCTTTTTGTTCTCACACACATTTATTTACTATATTTATTAAACATATGGATATTACCTATTATAAAATTATAGTCTGTAAATATTTATAATCTGTAAATATTTATAATCAGTAAAAACTAAAATTTTATCTAACTTGAGTTAAATAAAAAACTGAAATAAATATTTAATGGTCTTACATGTTTTTATAATAAGATTAACAGAAAGTGAAATTAAAACTATGTATAATTATAAAGAGTATCAGTTACTTGTCCCATTTGTTTTCAAATAATTAACCCTAGGAAAATGATTTCATTTTTAGATAAATGATTTTAAAAAGTTCTCTTATAAAAAGTTTTAGCTTTTTTTAAATTTTTTTTTTAAAGCCAGATAACAAAACTCTTTAAATTTGTTAACGTATCGCTTGGTAGAAAAAGAACAAAAAATTGTTTCTTTTCAATTTTTTTAAACATATGAATTAATAATAATAACCTGTTTATTAATATATAAAGCATGCAACTATATTTGAAAAATTGATCTTTTCAGACTATATTATTTAAATTTTTATTTGATTTAATATCATTAAAAAATTACTTTTTGAAAAAACCCACTTGAAGTTTTCAATAGTAGATACCTACTATAAAATTATATGAAGATTCGAGTTTCTTTTACTTTACTAATATTAAAAACTTAATCATATAAATCATGCAACTCTATTTGACAAATTTATGCTGCACTATAAATTATATAAAAGTAAATGTAAAACAATAAGTTTTAGTAAAAAAAAATTTTTTTTTTTGAAAAAACCCACTTATCGTTCCAAGTGGGTTTTTTCAAGGTGGGCCCACCCAATAAAACCCGGGCGGGTTTTTTCAAAGTGGGCCCACTTGGCGAACCCTG